ATTCTCCAATGATCTGCACATCCACTTTAAAATGAACCATATTTATGTAAACATTTTTGAGAATTTTTTGCTGAGATTTTAATCATTGTACCAATCCAAAAAGAGTAAGGTAAATGACATTACAGCTAAGAAAAACAATATCCAGACCCTCAGACCAGCATTCCTTTGGATAGCCTGCCGTATCTGCTCATTGGCATCCTTAACATTCTCTGTTGTTCCAATTACTGTACTTGCAATCCTGTCTATGTCCTTATCCTGCTGCAGAACCTTCTCCGTAAAAATTTCTTGCAGTTCAGCAATACACACCACTTTACTTTCTATCTGCTTCACTTCCTCTGTCAAACTATTCAGTTCATTATATAACTGGGCATTCTCTGATTCAAACATCTGCATCTCCTCAGTGGAAAGCTGATCATCTTCTGAAAAGAGTGAAGGTTTGTCGGTAATAATGTTGGTCTCCAGCACTTTCCTTGGGCTGGAATTGTGACTACTCTGAGTTCTGTTCTCTTTATGATCTTTTAGGAAAATTTCTGAGTTACTATTACATATTACAAAATTTTCACCATATTTCTTAGACTCTGTCTCTAACTTTGACATTTTCTGGATCTCAAGAGCCCGTTTTACTCGTATAGCTCTCTGCTCAGAGTAAATCTTGCACACTGACTTTAAGTAACTCTCAACCAGGTCCAGGACTGCTTGCCTGTGTTCCAGCAACTGTGCGGAGCCATCCAACTTCTGAGACACTTTCTTGAATTCTTGGATTAAATAAGAACATGTGTTCATAATTCGCTGGGCCCCCAAGTCTATCTTGTCCCGTTCTACATCTGTCATCTGTGGAGTGTCTGACAGATGACTTGCAAAATTTAAATATGCTTTCCTGTGTTCTAGAAGAAAATCTCTCAGACGTGTTATCTGACCAAGAACTTCCTTTGCTCTAATAGTAAATTCACTCTTCTGTGTCCTGGTTCCAAAGATTCTGCTTCTGTCAGCATCGCCCACTCCAAAAGCCCTATTCCGAGTTCGAATAGTTTTCACACAGGCCTTAAATAACGTGGTTATATCCATTTTATTTCAAACCTGTAATGTAAGATCAAATTTATTATTAGCAACAAGCCATTTATTTAAGAAACCCGTTGTGTTAAATGGTTAAACAGAATTTTAATATCCTTGTGATTTTAAATTTATTACAGCATGCATCAAGTAACCACTTTACAATACGTCCATCACTTGTACATCCGGGCTTTTTTTAAATATATTAACCCCGACATAACTATTCCAATATAAGTGCTCTAGTCAGTTTCCAACTTCATGTTTTATTTCGTTTGCTTGCAGAAGCACAGACGAGTTTTACATTCAAAGTTATATCCTAATTATATATATTATAATAACCGTAAGACGCAATCTAGTATGTAACACAAGCAGCGAAACTCCACAATAAAAACTGAAGAGGTATCATTATACCGCACACATGCTGTCGTTAACATTGACACAACACGCATCACCATTTAACCCATTTAACCGATCTAACCCATCTAACCTATCAAACCCAAGGGTAAGTAACTGTCATAGGGGAAGGGGGAAACGAAGGATTTACTGCCATCTCTACGCCGTCGGATTGAACTAGATAGTCAGAACCAATCACAATACAACTATTGCAATATATTGAATCGCATTTGTGTGACCCAATGACCCCAATGACAGTACAACATTTGTTAAGGGTGTGATGGATCTGATGGCTCTGATCGCTCTGATATTGTGATATATTGTGATGTTTGCGGTAGGTGTGTGGTGATGTGTAAAATGTGTGTTTTAATCGGTTGATCAAGATGGAGTGTATTTGATTTTAAGTGGATTATTTGTTAGTGGCCTTAATTTTTTTTAATTCCCTTAGTGGCGGTTGGAGTCCAACTGGGTCCACTCGGCACGGCGGCCACTGATTGGCCTATTGTAGCTTGCCGCGGGTGATTATCATGATGGAGAATTTGGTGGATTGAAGATTGGCAGGGGAGACCGAAGTACTCGGAGAAAACCCGTCCCAGCGCCACTTTGTCCACCACAAATCCCACTTGACCAGACCCCGGGATCGACCCCGGGCCGCCGCGGTGGGAAGCCAGCGACCATGAGGGGTGAGCCACAACTGGCCCTCGCACTGCGACCTTCAATGATATATTGTGCTTCTCATTTGTATTAATATTACAGACGTACGTACGTTTTAGTGGGGGTAGGTTTATGCTGGCACGTCAGTATGTTGGTAACCGGTACATTACGGTTTTACATGATGAAAGCCACATAAGGTAAACTATAAGATGTACTGTCGAAAACACAGAAAGACTGCCGCAAAAACTGTGTGACGGTGGTGTAAGTTGCCCATGACAGTAGAGGTGTAAACTCGCCCAACCTAACCTATTATATGTCGATGTAAATGAGACACTCTCAGACAAGAGGCCCAGAATGCTGGGAGGAAAAAGAAGTGACATGGGGGAGCAAGGTACTTTGTGATGTTTGAGAATGGAATTATTTTCTGTAAGTTGGTAAATTATAGGAAATTGTGAAGTTTGATAGATAAGAATGGTTGTCTGCGTTATAGAAGTTGGACAGTTTTGAGGAATATCAAAGTTTATATATCATGCAGTTTTGAATGTGGGGATAGTGTGGGAGGTTAGAGGTTTTTGGGAATGTGAAGGTTTATAAGTATTAGAAATACTTAGATATGTGAGATATCTTGAAACATAGAATTGCTCATGGATACATAGTGATATGATGCACCAGTTAAACTAACTGAGCTGTGCCAGAATGTAGTTCTAGATGATAGCAACAGATAATTGATCTGTTATACGATACAGGTTACTTGTTATTAGAATATATTGGAAATTTGGGACTGCTTGTTGAGTATAGGGAATTTGTAGGTATAGGCACCGAAATGGACAGATGACCAATCTACTTATCAGAGGCAGCTTGGAGGCAAGTAGAATGTGTGCGTAGTGAGGAGCAAGGCCAAATTATTACAAGCCATCTGCTCATCTTTAATAAGTTCCTGTCAAATCTTTAATGGTGTGCATAATGTGTGTTTCAGTGGGTGCAGGAGGGAGGAGTAGATTTGATTCTATGTATGTGGTATGTGCCTACTGTTCAGGAGAATCCACACCCTCCCAGATAACATTATGGATCTGCATATGTGAGTTCCATTTGTGTGCTGGCACCATGATCTGCAGGTAAGAATGAAATAACTACTTGTGTTGTACATGACTGGAGACTGAATGTGGTAAATTATGCATTTAGAAAGACAAAAAGAAAGTACTGTCAAAACCATGTGTTCATCTCTCAGGAAACTGGGGCAGTGTGTGGAAGAGTGGTAATTTAACTCCAAGATTATGTGCAGTTCTCTAGACCTCCAGTGTTACTTATCAGATGTAGACCAGACCAGTCTTCAGGAACACTGAGCACTGTGACGTATAATGTTTTTAAGTTCTAGGTCCTTGGGAATTTTGAACAATCGGATGTGTGCAAAATGTTTCTGACAGCTTGATCCTGCAGTGACTTGGTCATTGATATTATGCCCCTGTTGTTATAACCTGAGATAACTGAACCAGGCCCTTCCCTGCCCAAATGCACGGTGATGTGAATCATGAACCCAATGTGGCAAGTTTTTTCTCCACCATGCTGTATTAGGTTATTGTAGGAAAATGAAAGTTATGTTGATGTGGGCTTCTCNTTTATGTTGACAAAAGCAGCCATATTGTTTTAATGTAGAGTTATGTTGATATTATGTGGTGTCAAAGAAGGTGCGGGAAGACTGCACTCTGCCATGGATCAATGTGACAGATTGCTTTGATTTTGTTCGTTTATTATTGAAAGAAACTAGATAATGGCCCATTGAAAATATTAATATTGCAATCCTATATGGTGAGTGATTCCAGACAAATATAACTTGGAAATGGAAGTAGTAAAGTCAAGTATAAAAGACAAGTCCGTCCAACGTGACTATTTCAGTTTTCTCACTTGATAATTCACTAGCCTTACATGTTTCGATCCATTTGGATCATCTTCAGAGGCACAAAACACTTTTTTGAAACCACTATCACAACAGTTGTCATATCAAATACACATGTAAAGTCCAAGTACACAATGTTCCATCTATCAGTCACAGCAGCCTTTCTGGTTATAGAAATATTTAAAGTTGTTTTAAAGTTTTAAAAACTTTGTTAAAAATTAAAATTCATAAACCATATGGTTTGTGTCAATAACCTCTGTCATCTCTCTTCAAGGTGGCCGCGTTGTGCCGCCTATGTAACTTGAGTAAGGAGATTCTTAATATTGTCCGTTACGATTTCTTGGCCTGCTGTACTGTGTATGAATTTTAATTTCAAAAGTGTTTGGTGCCTCTGAAGATGATCCAAATGGATCGAAACATGTAAGGGTAGTGAATCATCAAGTGAGAAAACTGAAATAGTCACATTGGACAGACTTGTCTTTTATAATTGTAACTGTTAGTGTGATGGACCAAAATGAAACAAATCAAAAGTCAAGTCAAGGTTTATTACAATAATGGGATATGTGATTCATGCATAATTAGGCTATAAGATGGCTGCTGTTAAAAAGCTAATGGGCATTGCATCACTAATTAAAAAAAGTTAGGAAAGAGATCTGTTATTCATTACACATATTGCAATAATAAAGCAATTTTACTCTACAACTGATAATGATATCAGTGAATGTCCCAACAGTTTTGATGGACAAATTAAAAGAAATGTAGATAAGTCACATCTAATATATATTACATCCTGCTTGGATCTACTACTGAGGTGCCTAATGACATCAGGCATACATATACACCACAAATGATATTCTGTTCTTGAATACACTAGGCATATACAGACAGAGTTTACTCAAAACATAGCCCATTGAAGCCAAAAGTAAACTGAAAGTATTGATATATGACATATTAACATATGTCATATATCAATAGGCTAATTGTGATGTGATGAAATGAATAAATGTAATTACACGAGTATAATTTATTTGAAGAAAAACACTGGCAAAGAACAAGTCACACATACTTGTCTTTCTGAACATTTATTTACAGAAATATGTTTCCCTTTTACTCTGCAAAGATTACTACATAAATGTGTGTGTGTATGCTTTTCTTTTCTAAGGCATTATAAATATCATGATTTAATAAAGCTATCATCTCCCAGTGTTTTAACAATAAATAATAAGTATTTTATACACCTGACACTCATTGCCTTAAATGAAGTGAATAAACATGCTATTCTCCAATGATCTGCACATCCACTTTAAAATGAACCATATTTATGTAAACATTTTTGAGAATTTTTTGCTGAGATTTTAATCATTGTACCAATCCAAAAAGAGTAAGGTAAATGACATTACAGCTAAGAAAAACAATATCCAGACCCTCAGACCAGCATTCCTTTGGATAGCCTGCCGTATCTGCTCATTGGCATCCTTAACATTCTCTGTTGTTCCAATTACTGTACTTGCAATCCTGTCTATGTCCTTATCCTGCTGCAGAACCTTCTCCGTAAAAATTTCTTGCAGTTCAGCAATACACACCACTTTACTTTCTATCTGCTTCACTTCCTCTGTCAAACTATTCAGTTCATTATATAACTGGGCATTCTCTGATTCAAACATCTGCATCTCCTCAGTGGAAAGCTGATCATCTTCTGAAAAGAGTGAAGGTTTGTCGGTAATAATGTTGGTCTCCAGCACTTTCCTTGGGCTGGAATTGTGACTACTCTGAGTTCTGTTCTCTTTATGATCTTTTAGGAAAATTTCTGAGTTACTATTACATATTACAAAATTTTCACCATATTTCTTAGACTCTGTCTCTAACTTTGACATTTTCTGGATCTCAAGAGCCCGTTTTACTCGTATAGCTCTCTGCTCAGAGTAAATCTTGCACACTGACTTTAAGTAACTCTCAACCAGGTCCAGGACTGCTTGCCTGTGTTCCAGCAACTGTGCGGAGCCATCCAACTTCTGAGACACTTTCTTGAATTCTTGGATTAAATAAGAACATGTGTTCATAATTCGCTGGGCCCCCAAGTCTATCTTGTCCCGTTCTACATCTGTCATCTGTGGAGTGTCTGACAGATGACTTGCAAAATTTAAATATGCTTTCCTGTGTTCTAGAAGAAAATCTCTCAGACGTGTTATCTGACCAAGAACTTCCTTTGCTCTAATAGTAAATTCACTCTTCTGTGTCCTGGTTCCAAAGATTCTGCTTCTGTCAGCATCGCCCACTCCAAAAGCCCTATTCCGAGTTCGAATAGTTTTCACACAGGCCTTAAATAACGTGGTTATATCCATTTTATTTCAAACCTGTAATGTAAGATCAAATTTATTATTAGCAACAAGCCATTTATTTAAGAAACCCGTTGTGTTAAATGGTTAAACAGAATTTTAATATCCTTGTGATTTTAAATTTATTACAGCATGCATCAAGTAACCACTTTACAATACGTCCATCACTTGTACATCCGGGCTTTTTTTAAATATATTAACCCCGACATAACTATTCCAATATAAGTGCTCTAGTCAGTTTCCAACTTCATGTTTTATTTCGTTTGCTTGCAGAAGCACAGACGAGTTTTACATTCAAAGTTATATCCTAATTATATATATTATAATAACCGTAAGACGCAATCTAGTATGTAACACAAGCAGCGAAACTCCACAATAAAAACTGAAGAGGTATCATTATACCGCACACATGCTGTCGTTAACATTGACACAACACGCATCACCATTTAACCCATTTAACCGATCTAACCCATCTAACCTATCAAACCCAAGGGTAAGTAACTGTCATAGGGGAAGGGGGAAACGAAGGATTTACTGCCATCTCTACGCCGTCGGATTGAACTAGATAGTCAGAACCAATCACAATACAACTATTGCAATATATTGAATCGCATTTGTGTGACCCAATGACCCCAATGACAGTACAACATTTGTTAAGGGTGTGATGGATCTGATGGCTCTGATCGCTCTGATATTGTGATATATTGTGATGTTTGCGGTAGGTGTGTGGTGATGTGTAAAATGTGTGTTTTAATCGGTTGATCAAGATGGAGTGTATTTGATTTTAAGTGGATTATTTGTTAGTGGCCTTAATTTTTTTTAATTCCCTTAGTGGCGGTTGGAGTCCAACTGGGTCCACTCGGCACGGCGGCCACTGATTGGCCTATTGTAGCTTGCCGCGGGTGATTATCATGATGGAGAATTTGGTGGATTGAAGATTGGCAGGGGAGACCGAAGTACTCGGAGAAAACCCGTCCCAGCGCCACTTTGTCCACCACAAATCCCACTTGACCAGACCCCGGGATCGACCCCGGGCCGCCGCGGTGGGAAGCCAGCGACCATGAGGGGTGAGCCACAACTGGCCCTCGCACTGCGACCTTCAATGATATATTGTGCTTCTCATTTGTATTAATATTACAGACGTACGTACGTTTTAGTGGGGGTAGGTTTATGCTGGCACGTCAGTATGTTGGTAACCGGTACATTACGGTTTTACATGATGAAAGCCACATAAGGTAAACTATAAGATGTACTGTCGAAAACACAGAAAGACTGCCGCAAAAACTGTGTGACGGTGGTGTAAGTTGCCCATGACAGTAGAGGTGTAAACTCGCCCAACCTAACCTATTATATGTCGATGTAAATGAGACACTCTCAGACAAGAGGCCCAGAATGCTGGGAGGAAAAAGAAGTGACATGGGGGAGCAAGGTACTTTGTGATGTTTGAGAATGGAATTATTTTCTGTAAGTTGGTAAATTATAGGAAATTGTGAAGTTTGATAGATAAGAATGGTTGTCTGCGTTATAGAAGTTGGACAGTTGTGAGGAATATCAAAGTTTATATATCATGCAGTTTTGAATGTGGGGATAGTGTGGGAGGTTAGAGGTTTTTGGGAATGTGAAGGTTTATAAGTATTAGAAATACTTAGATATGTGAGATATCTTGAAACATAGAATTGCTCATGGATACATAGTGATATGATGCACCAGTTAAACTAACTGAGCTGTGCCAGAATGTAGTTCTAGATGATAGCAACAGATAATTGATCTGTTATACGATACAGGTTACTTGTTATTAGAATATATTGGAAATTTGGGACTGCTTGTTGAGTATAGGGAATTTGTAGGTATAGGCACCGAAATGGACAGATGACCAATCTACTTATCAGAGGCAGCTTGGAGGCAAGTAGAATGTGTGCGTAGTGAGGAGCAAGGCCAAATTATTACAAGCCATCTGCTCATCTTTAATAAGTTCCTGTCAAATCTTTAATGGTGTGCATAATGTGTGTTTCAGTGGGTGCAGGAGGGAGGAGTAGATTTGATTCTATGTATGTGGTATGTGCCTACTGTTCAGGAGAATCCACACCCTCCCAGATAACATTATGGATCTGCATATGTGAGTTCCATTTGTGTGCTGGCACCATGATCTGCAGGTAAGAATGAAATAACTACTTGTGTTGTACATGACTGGAGACTGAATGTGGTAAATTATGCATTTAGAAAGACAAAAAGAAAGTACTGTCAAAACCATGTGTTCATCTCTCAGGAAACTGGGGCAGTGTGTGGAAGAGTGGTAATTTAACTCCAAGATTATGTGCAGTTCTCTAGACCTCCAGTGTTACTTATCAGATGTAGACCAGACCAGTCTTCAGGAACACTGAGCACTGTGACGTATAATGTTTTTAAGTTCTAGGTCCTTGGGAATTTTGAACAATCGGATGTGTGCAAAATGTTTCTGACAGCTTGATCCTGCAGTGACTTGGTCATTGATATTATGCCCCTGTTGTTATAACCTGAGATAACTGAACCAGGCCCTTCCCTGCCCAAATGCACGGTGATGTGAATCATGAACCCAATGTGGCAAGTTTTTTCTCCACCATGCTGTATTAGGTTATTGTAGGAAAATGAAAGTTATGTTGATGTGGGCTTCTCTGGCATAGTATTCATACCATGTAAACGAATTTCCCTTGAATCCACTGGTACTAATTGTACAAGTATTATTATTATTTGGGCCCTGTTAGTGAAACATGTAGGTTGTACAGTTGTGTTTATTGTGTTGTCGCACTTTTTGGAGGTTNCCTACTGTTCAGGAGAATCCACACCCTCCCAGATAACATTATGGATCTGCATATGTGAGTTCCATTTGTGTGCTGGCACCATGATCTGCAGGTAAGAATGAAATAACTACTTGTGTTGTACATGACTGGAGACTGAATGTGGTAAATTATGCATTTAGAAAGACAAAAAGAAAGTACTGTCAAAACCATGTGTTCATCTCTCAGGAAACTGGGGCAGTGTGTGGAAGAGTGGTAATTTAACTCCAAGATTATGTGCAGTTCTCTAGACCTCCAGTGTTACTTATCAGATGTAGACCAGACCAGTCTTCAGGAACACTGAGCACTGTGACGTATAATGTTTTTAAGTTCTAGGTCCTTGGGAATTTTGAACAATCGGATGTGTGCAAAATGTTTCTGACAGCTTGATCCTGCAGTGACTTGGTCATTGATATTATGCCCCTGTTGTTATAACCTGAGATAACTGAACCAGGCCCTTCCCTGCCCAAATGCACGGTGATGTGAATCATGAACCCAATGTGGCAAGTTTTTTCTCCACCATGCTGTATTAGGTTATTGTAGGAAAATGAAAGTTATGTTGATGTGGGCTTCTCTGGCATAGTATTCATACCATGTAAACGAATTTCCCTTGAATCCACTGGTACTAATTGTACAAGTATTATTATTATTTGGGCCCTGTTAGTGAAACATGTAGGTTGTACAGTTGTGTTTATTGTGTTGTCGCACTTTTTGGAGGTTGATGACAGTTACAAGTAGTGTGTAGAGTTTGACTGGATTTCTTTAGACTTGATTGAGTTTGATGCTGGTTATGTACAGTAGCTTATTCTAGTGAGAGGAACAAAGTAAGTATTCAGTGGCAGGTTGAGATGTGAGGTTAACTGGAGTATGTTGGACAGATTACCCTCGTCTTGATTAATGTTTATGAAGCATGTCATTGAGCATCTTATCATCCCATAACTGTGCAGAAGTAATGATGAAATTTAGTTTAATGGAATGAATTTAGCAATCAGGTATTAATATTGTCCCTTGATATTACTGAAAATGCGCTCATAACATTGCCTAGTATTTCCATTCTCTTCTACTAGTGTGAAGATTATATTGCTCATAATGATTATGTGTGCTTATACATAACATCTGTGAATGCAGTTGTCCTCAGTTTTTGTTTATAATAGAGACATGCTTGTCGTGGTCCTAAACCTTAGTGAAGGCATTAAGTGACTGATTGAATGCTAAGAAGTAGTGCTGCGGCAGAAGAATGTGAAGGTTGAAAGTCATGGTCCCGGAGATGTTTGTTGGATAATAATAATAATAATGATAATGATAATAATAATTTTATTTAACATTCATCACAGTTACAAATTATAACTCTCGAACAAGTCACATACATTACAACTTTCCAGTCTAATTGGCCTCCTGTCCAATTGATTGAACGTCATCGTATATCACATAACAAAACATTCAGTTACAATTAAAATCACACTCTCGGTATAATTAAAATATATTAGGTACAATCAAATTTACGACTTTCTTCCATTGTAAAAAACAAGGTCATCTTACTATATATATCTTAATTACCACCGTCATATTCTTAAACTTAAAACCTATTATATCAAAATAATCCACAAAAGATAAAATTCAATTTAGATAACGATTAAATAATTGGAGTGCAATCTCTTTTAAGACTTCCATTCCCTTTATAGGCTGAATCATATTAAAAACTTCACCTAATTACTAGTCATTTTATTTACACTTAAATCTATTTATCAAGGAGAATCTTGTTCGTTTAACTGTCCTTCTGAGACGAACTCATGCAAATTATACAGTGGGTGTTCCAGTCAATATCTTTTGAGTCTATGCAGGAATTCTCTATCTGCTTTTACCTTTCTTAGTTCCAAAAGCAGTCTATTATAAAGCTTAATAGCCATATTTGTAACACCCCTCTCATATGTTAAGGTATTATAACTTTGCACATGAAGGTCTTCTTTCTTTCTTGTGTCATACTTATGTAGGTCAGAGTTTTTTATGGTGTAAATGTTATATTTCTTGAAATAACGTAACACCTCTAAAATATACAAAGATGTTACCATTAAAATTTTTAATTTTCTAAATATAGGTCTACATGATGTTCTTTTTGTTACCCCTTTCATTATTTGAAGAACCCTTTTTTGCAAAATCAGAATTTTTTTACTTTCACTTCCCCCCCCCCAAAAAAAAATCAAACCATAAGTTATTTGAGATTGGAATTTAGCAAAGTACACATTCCTAAGAACTTGTGGGATTACTTCGCCTTTCAAAGCTTTAATGATGTAACACAGGTTACTGAGCTTTGTACAGACCGACTTAATATGAATGTTCCATTTTAATTTGTGGGTTAAATTAATACCAAGAAACCTAAACTGTGCCGTATAATTAATTATTATATTTTTAAAGGTAATTACTGGCTCAATGCTATCTTGTAGTTTATTCACATGGAAATACATTGCTGTAGTCTTCTCATTATTTACTACCATATTATTCATTGAAAACCAAGATTCAAGTTGCTTCATTACCTTATCTATTTTGTCTTGAAGAATATTTTTTGTTCTTTTCTATTATCAGTATACTGGTATCATCTGTAAATAGCACCACTTCCCCGTTAGTTATATGGAGGGGTAGGTCATTTATGTAAATCAAAAACAAAAACGGGGCCAAGGTTGGC